TCTTGATTATATACTCCTTAGAAATAAATTAAAAGTGACAAGAGTTGCTTATTATTATCATATAAAAAAAGTGTATCGCTTATTATAAAGCAGTAGTTCGGAAGTAATAAACTTTAATAAAAGTTTTCATGCGTAAATATTCATCAGGGCATTCGCAAGAAAATTACACCAAACATCAAACATATTTGCATTTTTTTTCTTTATAATTGTGTTAGAATTTATATAATCAAACACTACAATCGATTGTTCGGAGAAGAGTACGGAGATTAATTATTCTGATAATCTGTTAAACTCTCTCTTTCTATATATATTACTCAAATACATCTGTTCAAAATTTGCGCAATGATGTTTTGTTCTATAAATACTCTAACAAGAATAAGAAAAACAAATAAAACTATAATAATACTTAGTAATAAAAGGTAAAGAAAGATATATAAAGAATTCTTCAGTCGAACGGTTGAGTATGTTTTAACCAATAAATATTCTATATCTGTTGGTATAAAAAAAGCAGACATTAACCATGCCTAAGTAGAAAGAATTACCATCTTCATATAAACAAATTCCACAATGATATAAATACAACTATACGTCAAGATAAAGATAGTTCTTTTTTTTCTCATTTAAATTTTCTACTGACAAGTCAAATATCTCTCGATATGATGAGTATTTGAATGTCAAATTACAAGAAAGTATTATATTCCTATATGAAAAACTCAAATTGCATATTTCTTATTTTCATTGGTTGATATTATTGAATTTTTTTACACAAACTTACGTACTTTTCATGTTTTATATTCCAATTCCATTGGTATTTTTATATATTTCATAGAAAAAAGGAAATTATATATAACATTTTATGTCAATTAAAAATATAAGTATCTCTTCTGTATTCATTAGTCGAGTTGAAAAGATTTGTTCCGTACGCAATTGACACAGAAGTTTTTATCTTTTTTTCTTGTATTTTATTCTATATTTTCTCTTCCATATCAATGAAATCTGTTTTTCAACATCAACAATTATTATAAAATAAGATGTTCAATTACAAACGTAAATGATTACAAGTTAGTAATAATCACGCAGAAGTTGAAACAATATATATCATCGGCAAAGAGATTCATTTAATTATAAATAAATTACATTGCTATGATTAGTCTAATAAAGATGTATCGATTTCTACATAGAATTGAAATCTGCAATATACATGAACAAATATTGACGATTGTTATAATATCGAAAACCCTTCAATCTCTTCATAGAGTTTTTATGGTATTATTCCTAACAGCCAATTAATTCCTACTCACGACTTTTTTGAATATATTGTCTATAGAATTCTCATATATTAAAGTACTCTTCTTTTCCTATGAATGAAAGTGATTAGATTTTATTGAATTGCAGTCAAATCTTTATTCGAAATTCATCTAATAATGTTTCTATACATATATTCGAAGGTGAAAATAAATTTATTTATACCACAGTGGCGGATCTAGGATTTTGGCTAAAAACTATTTTTTGAGTCCAATCGAAGTAGTGTGAACCTATTTTTGCTGGAAAAATTCGAAAAAATTTTCTGGAGGGGTGGGGGGCGATGGGTGCGATCGTCCCCACCCCCGCCTAAATCCGCCACTGTTATACCATCCATTACTATTATTATACTTTATAATATGCTAATAAAAAAAAATATCGACAAATCTAATTAAGCTTGATAATACTCTATGACAGCTTCAATTCATTGATTATCATTTTTCACTTACAAATACAAAATCAGACTATCTGTGTTCTAATCTATTATCTTTAAATACGAAAAATGTTTTGTTTCAAATTGTGAACTAATCATTTTTGACAAATACGTACTTACATATCTAACTGTCATATGTGAAAGATCCTACCCTATACTTAAGATTGACTTGAAAATAGATTTCTTTTTTTATTTTCTTCTATTCTATATAAAAATGATATATCATTTTTGTGATAATAAAATATCTAACTTGTTGTTGCTTAACAGTAAGTATCAACAAGAACAACAACAATAAAAGAAAAACAACAACATGACAAAATTTAAAATACTTTGTTTTTAAGACAAAAATATATAAATAAATAAATAGATTTAGAAAAAAATAATAATAAATTATTGATCGACGATTGCAAAAGCTTCTCGTAAAAATTCTTTGAAATTAAGAACAAATGTTAATAATGCAAATAAAAGTAGAGATAATCCTATAAGTGTTAAATGACGTGGTAAATTAGCTCGTATTCGTCTAGTTAAACGATATAATCGAAAAGCAAGTTTGATAATATATTGAAAGAATTTCCATACAGTTAAAACATGTAAAACACAAAATAGAAGACGTATGATTGTTGTATATCGACCAAAATCAAAACGATATCGTTCTGAAAGCCACCAACAATATGAAAGCCATAAACCACTAAATACAAATGCTAAACGAAATTGATTACGATTAATAAATTCATTTTCTTCTGTTGTTGACAAAGGTAGAATTGATGTTGATGATTGATATGATAATGCAATTTTATTAGATGAATCATATATATTATTTGTATCCATTCGATTAAAATCTAATTTATGTATTTCATATCTACAATTCAGAAAAACAAAACTTGAGCAAACCCAAATCAGAAACACAAGACGACAAAACAAAGTTTATTTTAATTTTTCTACGGAAACATATGTATATCAATCAGTTATTTTTCTTGTTCATCAGCATCCATAGCTTTTTGAAGAGTTTCATGTTCTTGTTGTCTAATTAATTTTTTCAATATATCAACACGATTTAAAATCTTATGACATTTGAATCGAAGATATTCTTTTGATTGCTCATTTGCAGATGTACGTGACATAAATTCATCCATTAAATAATCAACACCATCACGATAATGACGTATAGCAGCATAATAATCTCGATTATGATCATAAACTTTAGCCTGTTCAAGTAATGTTAATCCTTGTTTTAATTTATCAAAATCATCTTGATTTGTACAAGAAGTAAAGCAAACATTTTCATTAATTGGTGTCATTGCTATATAAGCAAAAGAAAATCATAACGATAAATAAAATTTTCATATATTCCTATACCTTCAGTGTTATTACTCATTCTTAATTAACTATTTGTTATTTATTAAATATAGTGTACCACGTTAAATCTAACAAAAAAGAAAATAATAATGGGAAAAGAACAAAATAATCTATAAGTGTTGATACAGCTAGAATGTTCGCTTTCATTTTCTTGTCAAACTTGGATAGAAAGCAAGAAAAAAAAAAGAGACAGAAATAGAGAAGGAAGAAAAAAAACTTATAACAAATATATATATATATATTCAGAGTTCATTACTAGCGGACGAGTTGTAAAAGAAAATCCGCGAAGCACGTTCACCATTCGAGGAAGGAGAGTGTGTGTGCAACAACTATTATGATAATTCTAGCATTCTGCTATTCGTTTTTTTCTTCTCTTCATTCTTATTTTCTCGCTGTCTACCAATTTTTTTTAGCGTCCTGTTTCCTCTGTTGTCGTTTTATCGTTCATGGGAAAGTCATCTTCTTATTTTGTAGCAACTAGAACTTCAATCAATTGAATGACAAGCATGAAAGGAAGCAAGAAAAAATCGATAACAAATATCTCAAATCATAGAAGAACTAAAGACTTTTCTTTTTATTATTTAATCAAGTATTATTTGTATGTGCATGCAAATATTTGATAATTATATTAAGATAAAAATTTTAAATACAAGAGTAACAATTTCGCATTGATATTATTTCTGATGCTGTTCAAGAGAAACGGAAATAAATCCTCGTATTTTTGCTGTTCTTCTTTCTAATGAATAGTTTTTTCAACCCTTCTTTCTCTTTCACTATTATTTCTTTTCAACAAAAGAAACCAAAGTTTATTCTAAATATAACATTCGCTCATGTGATTTACCAAGTATTTCTATATCACAACAATGCTGATTGATTGATAACAAACACGATATGATATTGTATCATATATTAAGAAAAAATAATTAATTAATTGATCATTCAATCATAATATTGAATCACAAAAGGACAATAATAATTACTCGGATTATTCTAAGAATATTTTTTTTTCGTACTTTTAATATAGCCCAAGGACATTTCATTACTTTTTCTTTATATTATGCTCACTTTTCAATATGAGTTTCCTTAAATATATATTTAGCGCGTTTCTTATTCTATTCTTGCTATTAGCAATGACACTTTTGAAGCAAACATCAATAAATTACATTCTATATACTCTTAGCTGTTTAGTAATTATATCAGCTTCAGTTACTTTTATTTTAAGTCTCTATCGATTACAACGTGATGCAAGTTTATTAAATCGTGAACGAAAACGTGACTATGTAACAAATAAAATTAATAAATCATTTCCTACAATAACTATTATAATAAGTATTATTGTATGTATATCATCGATACTTGCATTTATTGCCGTTCTTATTGATGGTCGAACGGAAATGTTACTCATTTCTATAACATCAAATATTATTTTAGGTATTGGTCTTATTGTTCTTGGTGTTATTATGCTTGGATTTGTTCAAAATATAGTTGAAAATTTTCCTGTTGATATTGAACGATTACTTGTTGATTTTATTATTTATAATAGTGAGTAGAAAATATATTAGGAGTAAAAAAAAGATAAGAGAATTCAATTAAATCTAGAAACATCAGCACGTGATGAACTTATTAAAATTGAAAATAGTAATGATTGTTGTACAACACAAGATTTAACATGGATTAAACAATATTCTCAAGCAGCTGAATGTAATCGAGAAGAAAAGTATCGTATGATTTATGCTGATCAAGATGAACAACGTGGTTGTGTTAAAATTATTAAACGAACTGCTTTATCTTTTAGACCCGTACTTATTTCAGAAATAATATCTGGTTGTCTTTGTCTTTTACTTGGCTTATGGACCATTTGTGTTATATGTCATATAAATGATCATTATGATAATATAAAATACGATCATGAAATTAGTAAAGAACAACCTATAACAAAATATCCATATTATCAAACTAATAAAACAATACATAATATTGTTCCTGTAATTAAAGCTAATGATGATCATCAAATAAATTCAATAGTAGATAATCATACTGTATCTCGTCATTCATATCCTTCAATTCCTTTCAACAAAACTGATAAATCTCTCTATACGAATACTATGAATACATAGATGACAATGAATTGTCATCTTTAACTAAAAATAAATACATTAATTGTATATTAAAAATATATATATTCTTTCCATTTTCATATTATAAAACTTCAATGATATCATAGGATTCTCATGTGTCAGAGTTATAATCGTTTTCAAAAATTTGACTGATAGAATATTTTACTTGAAAAAATGTAAACAATCAGAATATACATTTCGAAACGACTAGCACAGATGCATAAGTTCTAACTAATCCTGAAACCGGTGAGAACCGATCGGTTACAACTCTGTCATGTATAAGGAGAAATGTTGTTATTACACTTTCTGAATGTAAGTATAATCAAATATGTAATATATTTCAAAACATTTAAATAAAACAAAAAGATTGCTTATCAATAGAAAATATTTATTTACATTTGAATGCATTGCACATCTATCAATTTATCATGAAAATAATTCAAAAACCTATATTTAAGTGGAAGATCATTATCATTCTTAACATTGATATCATTCAAAGAAAAAATGAATAATTAGTATTTGTAAAAACATCGATTATGTGTGCCTAAGAATAATATAGACAAAAATAGAAGCTATTTAAAGAATGAAAATTATTTCGAAATAGCTTTATTTTGATAGTATAAATAATAAGAACGAAAAATCCGATTTTTGTATTGCCGATATATATTATTACTGAATAATATTATCAAACAAATCATCTATAATTAATTTTTATGAAAAAAATATTATTCGTTGTTCTTACAATGACTCAACTGATTTTTTAATATAGTAAATACATGCCAAAAAAACTAAATGTACTCGAATTATACGTTATTTTCAGATGAATGATAATAATTTTATTATTTAAATGTCATCTAATTTGTCAATGTAATAAATAAGAAAATTTAGGTCCATAGTATTTTGACATATAACCTCGAATTTTTAGTTTTAAGTGACAATAAATAATAATGTAGTTATATTGATTCATAATGTTACTATATTATTTATCTTAATTACCTATCAAAAAAAAAGCAAATAGTAAGAATCATTTACTGTTATATATGCATAAGAGTATTATAATAAAATACTCAACGTCATCCGTGCTACAAGTAGTCACTTGATGTTCTACGACCGAGTATATTAGAATTATTTAACATCGCAAATACAATTATGTGTATATAAATAATTATTCAACATTTTTTTGGTTCCGATTTCATTTGGCAACATTCTTTCTTGACGAAGATAAACAAATTTATAATATATTACTTCTTCTTCTTTTTTATCAAAAATTTAATTTTTTAATCAAATCTTGCAATTTATTAATGGATCAATTAAGTAATTTTACATATCACAGGGTTACTCTGACAAAGTTTGTATCCTTATTAGATAAAGCTATTTACATTGACCGATAACATATATGACATATATTGATTAAGGATAATAGCAGCTTTTTTTAGAAAGATCTTATCATAAAAGTCATATATAATAATTATATATAATCTGTTTATATATTTACTATTAAAAGCACAGTATTAAGGAAGAAATTATTTTATTAAAATATTTCAAATTAGTCATAGACTTACATTCTTGAGTCTATTACAAGTGCACATTAGTGGAATAGACATGTATTTAGTATTCCTATTGTTTATATGAGATAAATGAGTGTATATTATATATATATACATCTTACTAACGATGTATTGTTGCTGTTGTTGTTGTTTTCAACAAAAGTCAGTTGACATTGCTATATAGGTTCATATGTCGTTATTTTTCTAATAAACATCCTTTATCTATCAATAATATAGAAGTATATGATAATTATTTATCTCCGAAAATATTCATTCGATAGATTATTTTATATATGAATGTATAAACAGTATTTAAAAGATATAGAAAGGAAATCGGAGTATATTGCATGTTATTTGATCATGTGTCAAAATATCGTCTAGTTAAGATAAATGTCGTGTACGAATGTTATTATTTTCATTCTAATGTCAACTTTAAGATCTTGCACGCAAAGACCAATAATAGAATACAATCTCGGAAATAATAATGTTATATTTCGTGTATGTTAGATCTTTTTTTTTTTTATAAAAAAAAGAATATTTCGAAATATTGACAATGATAGAGACGATCTATTTAATTAATATTTCTTTCGAATTTTGTTAGTTCATTATATAGAGAATAAGCTAGATTATTTTTGTCATCGATTTAGTATTGTAAAATGTTAATCTTTTCATATCGAAGTATATCAATGATTGATTATATATCTAATGTAAAAAAATTGCTTGAGTGTGAGTTATTAGATTGTAAATTGAAGGAAAATAGAGACAGTAAAACAACAAACTATGAATGACTGTATTTTATTTTGCATATGAAAGATGATAATCAACAGGATCACTGCTGGGTTAATTTTCATGTGTATTTCTATACTTGTGACTTCTATGATGAAGGAGAAAAAAAAAGAAAATAGACATCCTACAGTCTATCATTCTTCTCGAATAGTCGTTTTTATGCGTATGAGTTCCGGTTTCACATTGTTTATCATTTGATTTCATCGAAATGTTTCTATCACATTCCATAAAAATAACAAAAATAAAATTTCTATATATAATCAGTAAATATAAAAATTTTTTCGCCTATTTTTCTAAATATTTATCGCTTGCTCATCGTGTATTCAAATACCATAGAAGAAATTTGCCTATTGATATAAACGGAGTGCATTTAGTTAAAATGATCGGCATCGTTTGGACGCCATGCATTATTAGTGACAAGTAGCATGACATAGATATAGCAATATGAAAAAGAAGAAGAAATAGTAGACGAAGCTATAGAATGATTTATTTATTGATGATAAGAGACTCGACAAGAAACAGAATGTAGAAGATTTTGTTACAGCTATTAGATGTTGATTATCACAGAACAACTTTTGAGAGCTAAATCATAGAATGAAAGCAATAATAACCAAAACAACATATATTTATAATAGATGTATAACTATAATATATCGGATTTGTATTATACTCTTTGACTTTATTTTGATTTTGATTCTAAGATATATAATAGTTTTTAAGCCATTAGGAGAGTATTGCCATTTTTTTTTTGGCATGTGACAGGAGAATACGTAAACCATCTGCTATGTATATATATATATATATATAGATGTTACTTGTTATGACTAACATGTTAATTATGTTATTTAGTTTTTAGTTTTTTAGTACATTTTTTTTCTCTAATATTTGAAATATTAATTTCTTTCGCATGAGAACTTTTCAATAAGTTTTTGACATATACACTTTATTAATTGAGAAATTCTTGAAAATAATAGGTTATGAAGTACTTCAATGAGGCTTAATAAACAAAAAAGAATGTTCACTTTCATTCTTCTAAATAAGAATAAATCATTTCCTATTTAGCCTGAAGCCATCAAATAAACATGTACCGAGAAAGAATAGTGATTACATTTGATATCATCTATGCGCCATTCCTTAATAGTAAAATATGCATAAAATAAAACAAATTTTATTAGTCGTATTATAGAACTGCCGGCTAACATGAAATCATATTTTTGATAGAATTTTCTATAAATAAAAAAGCATAAAAATAGAGATTTATTCTAGTCAATAGTTATTTTCTTTGTTCCCTATTGGTTTTTGCTATAACTTTTGCGTGATTGATCACATAGGAACAGTAGTGATGCATATTCAGCATATATATACATATACATTTAAGTCGAGAAGCACGTTTGAGAGTCATTCGTGTATAAGACACGCACCATATGGGTAATTTCTTTCTTCTAGATTTTTGCTACATAGTCTTTTTTATGTGTTCGTGTCATAAATAAAAACGTCACAGAGATGAGAAAAAAAGAATATCCAAAGGGGAAGTTTAACTTATTAGCATTAAAATAATAAAAATATCAACGTAGCAATTAGAAAATTTCCTAAAATAGGTGACATATCTTTTATATTATTCTATAAAAAGACTTAAAAATTTTTTTTTTATTTTTAATCTAAAATAGTAGGAGTATTGAATGATGCAAGTATAATATTCATACATTGCATGACTATATCTCAAGAATGTCACTAGTTCTTTTTATTTTTTCTTACTTTTCTATAATGTTTTTCTGAATTATTATTAACGCATTTTGCTTATGTATAATTTATCTTCTGTTTTTTTTAACAAGTTAGGTCATACTTACTTAAAAAATATATCAGGTATTGTATATGATAATACAATTGAATGAAAAAAACAAGATTTTTCTGTTAAATTAGATAAGACTTTTAAAAGACAAAAGTATTACAATAGTCGTCATTATTCATTGAGAAAAAATTAAGATATATATGTTTTTTTCCTTCTATTATCTTTGTGAATAATTTTTTATTTTTATGTGATTTCTTTTTTAGATGTATTATAGAAAGATGAAAAGAAAAAAAAAAGAATATTCTTTTATAGATTATCATGCATCATTCTACCAATCTATTTCATTAGACAGTTAGTATTCTGCTCTTAATATTTCATCATTTTTATGTTCTTTTATATCTATCTCACACTCTCTCCTATATATATATATAACATTGAAACGGGATATATAAAAAAAAGGACAAAACCAGTGAAAAATCAATGATTTCGGAAATGAGAAAAAAAGAAAACTTGTCAAAATACGTTCTCGTTCTTTAGTGTCAAGTGTTCTCTTATACTTCTTCACCATCAATTACATTTGCAACTCTTCTCTATTGTTCTTCTTTCTTTCTTTTTTTTTCTTCTTCATCAATACGAGTTGCTTTCAGTCCAGTGTCATCTTTTAGATAACATGGTAGTATCATAAAAAGAAAAAACAATAGAATGTCGATGTATACAATGCACTCTATTCATCTTTTATCTAAGCCTATTTGTTCATAGGATTTATTCTTCTTTTCTTAAAACTAATGAATAATTTAGTTGTTTATTTTATTCTGATTATTCCTGCATCGATACTTGTATTTTAAAAGCAATTTTTATTCGCATTTTAACACCTGTCGCCTTTTATGAATGTCCTATTTTACAATTTATTCCACTGAGAATGAGCCAACCTAGAATATGTCTGCCTCATCTCTTTCCTAATAAATATGCTTTAGATATTATAGAAAATTAGATAAGAGAATTAACTAATGGTTGAGATTTGATTCTCTTAGCTATTAGAAATCATTATATTAATAATCTTGATAAATTTTGTATTCTAAATTTGTCTTTTTCTATTTCTAGAAAATTATTAATGTGAATTCAGCTTTCTTTTTTTTACTATTTTGGTTTGGAATGAATATGAATATATAATTAAAACTCTTTGCTTTTATTTTAATTAATATTACTATTACTACTCTTATTATTATTATAATCATTCAGACATATATGAATGACAACTATAGAAAAATAAATTTCGATAAACGAGTATGAATGATACGTTACAAAATTCATCTACGAATTCAAATACATCGACAATATTTGTCGAAAAATTAGTACAGAAAATAATTCTTGGTTGTATACTCTCTAGTGTATCAGTACTTACTGTTTGTGGAAATATTTTAGTACTTCATGCTATACGTACAGAAAAATATTTACGAACTGTTTCAAATTTATTTATACTTAGTTTAACATTTGCTGATTTAGCTGTTGGTCTGTTTGTTATGCCTTTAAATGCAGCTAATATCATCGCTGGTCGATGGCCATTTTCTTCTCTTCTATGTAAATTATGGTTATCAATTGATTATGTTGCAAGGTATATTAAAACAAAAACAAAAAAATAAAATAAAATATATTAATTTTTATTTTCAGTACTGCTAGTATATTTAATCTTGTTCTTCTCAGTCTCGATCGTTATTGGGCAGTTGTATATCCTTTACGTTATTTACAAAAACGTACTCGTCGACGAGCAACAATATTTATACTTATTGTATGGTTTATATCATTCTTATGGGCGCCAGCAATTATATTCTGGTCATATATTGCTCCTAAACATAGTGATATTATAAAACCCAATGAATGTGATACATCATTTCGTTCGAATAAAACATTTAAAACATTAACCGCATTAGTTAATTTTTATTTTCCGTTATTAACTATGATTCTTATATCATGTCGAATAATGGTTGCTATACGTTCACGTTCGAAAATGGAACTTGGTCGACGTTTATCATCAGCAACACAAAGACAAATGAAATATGATCATGCACATACAAATTCATCAACACGTAATGAAAATGAAACTAATCATGTAAAAACGGAATATACTGATGAACAAACATTATCACCAGCTATTGTTCCTAATCCATTGGATTTATCTATTTCAAATAGTAATACTAATAATATAATACCTCTTATTGAACCTGGTCAATGTTTTTGCTCAACATGTCAAAATTTTAATGGTAGTGATACGGAAAGTCTTTGGGAACGACAACGAAAACCATTAAAAAGATCTTCGTCATCATCACAAGAACGCTATTCATATACTCAAATAAAACCTCGATCAATGATATTTACATCAATAGCAGATTCAAAAGATGAAAGTAAATATAAAAATCATGTTTCATCTAGCAAAACATTTGATTATGCAAATACAATAAAAAATCTTGTCAATGTATCAAATAAGAAGAAATGTTTAATAAAAATTAATTCAAGTGAACAATCAGAAAAGAAATTACCACACATTAAAAAGAAGAAATCCTTAGAAAGAACATTATCAATATCATCAAATAGTTCTTCCGATGCATATGCAGAAACAATGTTCATGAATCGAAAAGAAACGCAACATGAATTAAAAAACATTACTAGGTAGATAAAATAAAGTTATTAACGATTAATAAAACTTTTTTGTTACTTTAGACAACGATCATCAATATTCAATCATTCACCACCAACAAATCCCCATCTAAAAGTACCAACACCACAAGCAAAACATTCAATAACGACAGTAACTAGTGAACCATCAGCAAATCGAAAAACGAAAATGAATTTTTTTAATACACTTATTAATCCAAGTCGTTCAAGTTCATTACAAAAAGAACTTAAAGCAGCAAGACAATTAGGAATGCTTGTTGGTGTATTTACTATAACATGGTTACCATATTTTATCTTATTTTTAGTTGTTGCTTGGTGTAATGATTGTATATCTGATACAGTTTTTACAGCATCTATATGGCTTGGTTATATTAATTCTACAATCAATCCATTAATTTATCCATTATGTAATATACATTTTCGTCGTGCTTTTCAAAAAATTTGTTATTGTCAACATGCAAAAACAAAACTACCTAATTTAAATGCCTTACGTGAACTTCATGCACTACATGCAATGAGTCGACGACGATAAATTATAGTTTTTTTTCTTGCTTTGTTATTTATATTTTCTATATTAATTTTTTTTTATTTGTAAACAAAAAAGACACATTGATGGTCCATTGGTCGTTTTATTACAAAATTTATATCAGTACGTGAAAAAATAAAGAAATAGCTTAATGTTATAATTATAATGAGTTTTAAAGGATATATGTTTTATTCAAGAAGAAGAAGTATGAAAAGTAAAGTTATGATAATAATAACCCGTAGACGATAAAAAAATTATTCATATGGATTATTTTAAGTCATTCTGTTCAATATTTTCTAATTAATGAAGATTATTGGTTATAAATGAATAAGATTAACATAATAGTGTATTGTCTTGCATTACATTATTTTAATGCAGTACAGAAAATAAAAATGATGGCGTGATGTGGATGTATTTTGATTTATATTATCATAATGAAATTTATTATTAATTAAGTTTTGCCACGTTTAGTTTTAGAAGTTAATGTATGTCGATTATGTAGATGAATACTTTAAAATTTTACGTGGGTTTATTTGTAACTAAATTGTATAAGTAATCATTTTAGAATCTTGTATTTCAGTGAACAAATACTCAGATTTTTGATAAAATAAAATGCTAGACTGGATTAGGGAATTATATAAATAATTAATATTAAAATATCTCATTGCCTAAGATGTGTATGGGTTTATAGTCTTTTTCTTTCATATACTATTCTTAGTAAAATAGAGAGGTTTTATCAGATACTATATACAGTACGAATAATAATATTAATGATGATTGACGATTATTTTCAATATATAAATCAATAGAGAGTACCAAAAGTTACCATCAGTGTAAACTTTGGTTTTATTCATAGACTGTACTCAATCATTGCTTCTATATAAGACAAAATGTATTTTACAATCGAAATAATACTTTTTCATTTCATCAATCTAGATCATTCTTAAAAATATTGTAATAATAATCAACATTGACATAATATATTAATGTATATATATATGAAAAATTAATGCATTGACAGATATTTATCGATGAAGTTCAGAAGTATGACATTTTAATTTTGTAAGTGAAAGAATAAAAAGTCATTTATACAGAATATCATATATACTACAATTAGAAAACACATTCAAAATAATTATCATAAGTTAAGTACTTATTAATGAATGCATGATTTTATTGTAAGTTTACAGTTCAATAGTAATGAAAAGAGTTAAAGGTATTTGTTTCTCAATTATAAATAGAGTGATACTTACTGGTTTCTCTTCAAAACTATTTATAAATTAACCCCGATACTCCTGAACCTTTTTTTGCATTTTCAAGTCATCTTATACTCACCCACACCCATACCTCACATCCTGTTTTTGAAAGGTATGAAACAGTAAAATATCTCCATTGTATGAAAATTTGATGGTGACTGAGTTAAAGATGACACAGACTGGCAGTACTAGGGTTAACTAGAAGAACAAAATATATGGATTTATTCATAATGTCTTTTCATGTGATTCTTGTTGGAATAAAAACAACAGATGACATATATTATATAACGGAAATTATCTAACTTCTTGTCTTTTTATCTGTTTTAAATGAGTTTATCATTAAAAGATATAGGAAATACATTTGAATTGGAAGATAATCATTCTTAATTGTTTATATAAAACTTTATTATAATTTCTAAATATATATTATATAATAATACTGAAGATTCAGTGGAAGTTCATTGAATGAAATGTTCATTAAAGATAGAAATACAAATGGTATGAACTATGAAAGCATTCTTTATTTAAAAACAATCTACGCTAATAACCAGGGTTGCCAGATTGAAAATTCAAATATCAGAAAAGGCAATTTTTTGAAAAAACTAATGGTTACTATAAAAAAAATTCGAAACGATGAAATCCAATTTATTTTAACAAGAAACTCAATAGAAAAACACTTTATTTCATGATTTTTATTAGTCATAAGGGACACATAATGCGTCATCTGTTTTGCCACTGTTACTATTTAATCATTTATTACATAGTGCGCTGCTTTGCATTAAAGTAATAAAAGTACTCATAATGAGAACAAAAAGTTCAAATGTTCTTGATTGACCTATGATTCCTTTCTCTTGATTGTTGTTTATTGATTCGAACCAGGTTTTAGATTCTCGAATAGCATATCAAGGAATAAAGATCATGCAAGAATTTCATGAAACGGTAGCATGATCATATGACTTCTGCTTTACTCCAAGTTTGTTCAAATGGCATGTGAACTATTCTAAAACTTCGGTCGCTTTCGTGTATAAAAAGATAGAGAGATGAAAACAAAGGAGAAAAGACTAGAATTTTCGTTCTCTTATCTTGCATATACTATCCATAACAATATATCATAGAATGAGAAACTAACGTGAGAATTTAACTAATTGTGTGGTGACATAAGAAGGAATGTAATGAATAACTGGCAGAAGATAATGAAAAGGTCACTAACTACATTTGTTAAAAACTAATTCTTCATAAATGTGCAGATTTTGAAAGATAACATTCTACTGAAAAGCGAAAATTTTCCTTTCGATAAAGTTAATCTCTATTGAATCTTTTAATGATTACACATTCAATTAAAATAGATAAAATAATTTCTAGTTTCTTCAATATATTTCAACTAATGTATGATTAAAGAGAAGCATCAATTGTAAATCTTCATCATAGGTACAACTTTTTATGATTAGAATAAATCAGCTGTATACTTTAACCCATATAGATAGAACAATTAACTTTATCCTTCATGGACTATACTTTATCTAAATAAATCACTAGTTAAATAAATTTTGCGTCTATAACCTTTGTTGTTTGTCTTTACTAACAAACACTAATAATAAAGAATATTCGTCCGTTTCTACCTCGACTATTTTGTTCAAAGACAGGCGATCTATGTCTCTGTTATATTCTATGATTTATTTGTATTCGATTTTCGACTATAGGTTATAATGACGTAGGAATCATACAGATAAAAGATAGAATAGAAGAAATAAGAGAAATATATTTGGTATAAAGGCGCAATTATTTATTCATTCCTTTACTGTTTTCATTAAACGTAACTATCTCTTTACAATACATCATGATGTCACATATGCACGATTTAAAAGATCATGAACATGTACCAGTTGGTCGTTTTCCACGACACCTTTTTGACTTTGAAAATTTTCTTGGTTAGTATTAGTGATGAAAATATTTATTCTTCTAATCAAAATATGCTGTTTTTTTTTCCTATTTTCAAAGGTCAATCACTTGATGTATTTGATCCATTCGATGAAGTTGATTTAGCTTCACATCGTATGCAAAACGCTCTTCAGTAAATATATATATTCCAAACAAAAAGAAATTAAATTCATTTTTTTTAGATGGTTACAAGATCCACCACGTGCCCAACGTGAACTTTGTCCAGTTACTGGTCATAAAAAACGAGCACATACTGATAAATTTCGTGTTACATTAGATGTTACTGGTTATAAACCAGAAGATTTAAGTGTCAAAGTTATTGGCCGCAAATTATTCATCGATGGAAAACAAGAATTACGTGATGGTAAAATTCAAATACTAAACATAAAAATATCTTACACCATTTTTTTTAAGGTGAAGATTTTTCAACCAAAGAAATGCGTAAAACATATGAATTACCTGATAATGCTAGTCTTGAACATATGACATCATTTCTTACAGCCAAAGGTTTGAAATTTTCATTTAATTATTTTTCATTATAGAATAATTATATTTTCTTCAGGTACATTGGTTGTCGAATTTCCACTTATTACAGTACATAAAGAACGAGGTAAATAATTGTTTATTATTTTGTATGTTCTATTTTTTTCTTTCTTTCGAATAGATGATCATCATCATCAATTACAAAAATATGGTGCTAACAAAAAAGATTTCAATTTCGATGAATTCTTCAAAAGTTCATTTGAACCAAAAATTACTGATAGTACCGAAACCGGTGGAAAGAAAATTGATATGTCATTAGATATGACTGGTTTTAAACCAAGTCAAATTCAACTTCATCTTAAAGATCATGATTTAATTGTTCAAGTAAATCATAAATAATTATTTTTATTCTTCGAAATTCATATTTTATTTATTCTAGGCTGAATCAAGTGCAACAGATAAACATCATACAGGTCGTTCATATATCTACAAAGCTATTACATTACCACCTGTAAGTTAATAGATCAAATAATAAATAATCATATATTATTCTATTTAGAACATTGATGTTGAACATATGCGTTCATTTCTTCATGATGGTAAACGACTTGTCATTACTGCTCCATACTATGAAAATTTTGCTGATATTCCAAATGTAAAAACTGCTTCACTTGAACATGGTAATCATGGTATGAATTTAATGAAAGGTGATAGTCTTCGTGATGATATTAGAATTCCTAAATGTGCATCACCAACAAGTTCAACATGTTCCATTGCTGGTTCAGTTAATTCAGCATTTGGAAGCAAATGAAAACATATTCGATTTTTTTTTAATTTTAAATCATATGTAGATTTTATTAGTTATTGATAGATTAAAATAAAAAAAAATTATCATCAATAAACTTTATTTAAATATTTTCTAATAACTAAAATACGATTTCTTATTAGAGACATCTATTGTAATATGATTGTGAATATTCAATAGAATTCTTAATGATATTTCTCTTCTATATATTGAAATTAACTTGAATCAGTTTAGTATTCACTATTCTAAAGGTTTTATAAATTAATGCACGACAAACTTTCTTCGTTTTTTTATTATTAGTTATTGATTAAATTATGATTGTGTTCGAAAGTAAAGATGTTCGCTTAATCGTTAGATTCATTTTACATAATTGGTTTATCTATTTATTAAGAAAATAGGATACTAGTATCAAAGAATAGTCAAACATTAGAAATCAACACATTTTCCTTTTCGTTCCCAATCACCATATCGTGTTGGTTCAGGTCCACTTGGTCCATTTATTTCACCAGTATGTGGATTAACATTATTTGGCCATGGTTTTAATGGTTGCTTTTGTGCATCGGGATGTGAATCTTCATCTAATTTACCCATTGGTGTTTTACCTTTTGTTGAAGACTTTTTTGAATCTTTACTAGCTGTCGAATGTAAACGTAGAGCATTACGTAAGACAAACGAACGCTGGATATTGACAGAACAAGATAAACTTGAATACAATCGACTTAACATATCTGTAATAAAGAATGTTTAAATATCATTTATTCTTAGTTGTTTGTTTTTTTTTTTTAATTTTTCTGATCAATGGAAACAAAAAGTTCATCTGTACAAAAACAAATCAAGAATAAGAAAAAATATATATGTTAATGATGCCGATGATGTTTGGAACGATCTTTTTTTGACGACGATGATGATGGTGGTGGTGGTGATGGTGAACGAGTTCTATGACGTGTTGATTCTTCTTTATGAGAACGTTTTTTCTTATGTTTATGTTTTGGCTCTGATTTTACTACTTCTTCTTCTGATTCAGAAGCTGATGAAGATTCTGATGAATGTTTACGTTTACGTTCTTTTTTATCTCTATATAAAATAAATATATATATATAACAAATAATTCTATTCATTAAATCTTACTTTTTTGATTTTAATGTTCGTTGTATTGTTTTTAAACCATGTTTTTTCACAAGATCAAGAAGAAATTCATCCAGATCTTTTTCGGTCATTTCATCTGGTTCAGTTAATTGTTTTGCTAAAAGAAAGAACAAAGAATTTTTGAATTTAAAATAAAATATATTATAAAAATATTACCTTGATCTTCATCATTATCACCATATAATAAATCATCTTCATCATCATCTTCTGACCATTCATGTTTTTCTTCATCAGAACCAGTTGCTTTTAATTGTCTTCGTCGTCTTCGATCTTCTCTTCGTTGATTACTAGGTTTTTTATGATGATGATGATGTTTTTCATTACGAGAATCACCATGTATTGCTGGTGTCATAGGTTCATTTTTAATTGATCTTGTTGATTGTGGTTCACGTTTAATCACCGGTTTTGGTTGAGTTGAACTTGAAGGAGTCGCTAAAATCATATTCATATAAAATTTAAATAATAAAAGAAAATATAAAACAAACGTGGTGGTGGCATAGGTTTCATTCCTAATGCTGCCATAAGTGCATCCTCTTCATGTTTTTTAGCAGCAATAAATTCTGCTGATTTAATTTGTTGTTGTTCATTTTCACGATCTTTGGCATACCTTTATTAATATAGTAATAGAAATTAACGATATTTTTTGTCTTATAAACTTACCATGTTAAATCTTTACCCTCTTGCCAACGACCTGTTGGTGCCATGACAGAATGTCCTAAAAAACATTCTCGATCTTTGTCTGATTTTACTGTATCCCAACTAAATAAAATATTATCAAAATAGATTATAAGATAAAAAGTTGTCTCTTACCTAAATTGATCTTTTCCACCTCTTGTTCCAGCTCGAGCTTTATGAAATACAGACATCTAAAACGTACATATACACAAACAGTTTTGTTGTTGTTGCTGTTAGTTTTTTTTTATTTATATACATATGATAAAACAAAAGTAAACGAATGAGAAGAACAAAAAAAAATTACAAATTATCTTTTTTTCGTTATTAAGATGAACATGCACATGATGCAGCATGTTCAGCTGAATAAACAAATGCTTCTGTCGCTAATGCTGGATGTTGTTCAACTAATATACGCCAATCATCACTTTCAGTTACTTCAAGTATATTGCGCATGATAAAATTTAAAACACGTTTTTTTAATTCATTTGCATTATGTAAATCGGCAACTATATAAAGCATTGTACAATTCGATACAGATAATGAATTCATCATTATTAATTCGGATTTTTGTTTTAATAATTCTAATTCATATTTATCAGCTGCTTTAAATATTTCAACAGCATTATGTTCATCGATTTCTTCAACATTTGATGTATAGATATATTCAAGTAAAGCACGAACGGTTTCTGGTTGTAAATCTGTGATTTCAATTGTGGAATTTTGATCTTCGAGCATTGAATGAGAAAACATTGCAGCAAATACAGGACTACGAACCTAGATAATATAAAAAGATAATAAAATTGAAAATATCGTCTAACAACGAAAAAGAAATTGAGTTTTGTAAGTAGTAAAATATTTTTTCTAAATTTTAATAAGTATTCGATCAAATGTTGTGGCTCTGCTGATGATTGGGTAACTCTTAATTTAAAAAACTTCATGTATGATTTGCTGTAAGATGAGAAAAAATTTCCAAATATCTGAGTCTCAGTGGATTCACCGACACTGCTCACTCCTAGTTACTATATGTAAAACAAACAAGTTGATATTTAAACTTACACTTAATATACTTCGATGTGCATAAAATGTCATTGTCGTTGGTGTTGACGGAATAGCTAATGTTGTTGAAGTTGTTTCATCATTATTGGTTTCACCTGATGATTCTCCAGCACCACTACTTCCACCTGAGTTTGTACTATATCGTTTACGTTTTGTTCGATTAGTTCCAACACTGGAACTATTATTTGAGTTTTTTTTCGATGATGATTTACCTCCATCAATAGGTGATGAAGATGCTGATGATGATGATGGAGTATCATGTGATTTACTTTCATATGTTAAACTATTATATTGTTGTGGTCGTACAATAATTGTAACATCATGACAATTATCTTTCGTTGATGTTAATAATGAACCAAAATGTGATGATAATGATATTAAACTTTCATATGTATTCTTTTTTTCTTCATGTATTATCGATGATGATGATTCACCAACAATAATAACACGTGTAAAAATTTTTAAACTTTGATCTGCATTTAATAATTCTGATTTACGTTGTGTAGTTAATACCATACGCATTAAATATTCTGAATAACCCCAATCACCACCTGTTGGAAATATATGATAGGGAGTTTTACGTACAATATGAAATTCTCCACGACTATTAATTAATGAAAATTCTGCTTTAGCTTGTAAATCCGTTCGACCACGAACATATTTAACAAATAAACTTATATATTCAACTGATTTTTCGTTAACACCTTTCGGATAAAGTTTTAAACACCAACTAAAATAATTAAATAAATAAATATCGAAAGTATAATAGATTTTTTCTAAATTTTACCTTGTATCAGTATGTGGACCAAAATTTGGAGAAAAATAAGAGCTGAAGAGAACACGAGGCGATTGTGGATCATCTATAAAAAAAAAGACCGATGAAAATAACTAAAGAAATTTATGAAATAACAAACCTAAATATGATTGAAAATGATCGATTGTCCATAAATGTGTAAATGAAACAACTTTCCGATCAGTAACACATATTGAATGAGGTGGATTTGATGATAATGGTCGATTACCACGAAAATTTGAACGTTCCGGACCACTGCCTGACATTGACTAGGAATAGGAATTGATGAGCTAATGATTGACGGCGAACAAATAACAATAACCCATTAGATGTCGTTTTTCATTGGTTAAATACTCTAAACCAATTGATTTTCTTCTACGATAGATTGTGCTATGATGATTAGTTAGTTGGTTGATCTCAATGTGCTGACATGACCCGATTGTCTAGACTTGATTGAAGTGAATTTCATTTCTATCTTAGAATGTAATTTTAAAAATAAATTCAAAAATGGATGCAATTCATATTATTATGGCAACATCAACATCTGCAAATCCACATAATTCACCAAATATTCGAATAGAAAATCTTGCAAAAAAAAGAAAACTATCAGCAGTTACTTTTCTAGGTTTATTGTTAATATATCAATAATTTACAAAAAAATTAATTGGTGGTTTTATTCTTTCTTTCTTTTAGTTTTCGGAATTTTATTGATTGTCGCTGGTTCTCTACTTGCATCATTTGAAAAACAAAGATTTTCTGTTTCATTTATTGTTTTTGGGTATAAATTTTCATAACAATGATTTTAAATTAAATTGATTATTTTTCTTTTATTAGTGGTATTGGTATTATATTTGCGTTTATGTATTGGATATCTGCTGAAAAAATCTTAATTGCATTACGGAAAGTGAATGCTGAACGAATGAGAGTAAGAATTAATTGAATTTTCTTCTAAATTTAATCCCAATTGAATTTTAGCAAGCAAGATATTATGCTCAAAATTCTGGTAATATTAATTTTGCAAATACAAATAATGGGTAAATTTATTATATTTTTCCTATAAGCTGATTATAAAAATGTTTTTCTTTTCTCTAGAGATTTCAACCGATATGTAAATCCATTTCATACAAGTTTACCCAGTTATGAACAGAGTGTCTTACATCAGATAGGTAAATATGATTTGTTTTTATTAAATAGAGATACATTCATATTCTTCAAATAAAATAATCGTGTAAATAGATATTCCACCGCCTTATGAAGAAGCAATCAAAATTGAACCACCGAATGATACAACGAATAATTCTAGTCATGATGATTCATCTACACCTATTCATTCAATATCATATTCAGTTGATCAAGCAGCTGCGATGCCAAGTAGATCTGAAGAAATGCCAAATCAAAAACGTACTACATCGAACCTTTCATCTCAATAATTATGTTTTTAGAGAAAATTTCACTATTAAATAACATCTATACGTGTACATGTTTGTATTAATTTGTTTTTTTTTAAACTCTTATTCATTTTCTCTCCGTCTGATTATTGTTAATCTCATTGAGACAAAATAATAGAGTATGAAGATATATTTCTGGTCGTTTTTAAATAGTTTTTCATATACATATATACAGCTCAATATGTCTGTTTTCTAAGATTTTACGTCTTTTGCAATAACGTTGTTTTCTTTTGTGATCTATATTTTTCATTGTTCGTTGTTTGCATCAGTATTTACCAAAACGCTATTTGTAATTTATTAGATTGAAATAAATAGAATGTGAAAGCGTAGCAATTCGATAAATATTTCTTAACATTTATTCTTCAACAGTTCTAACTGATCATTTATAAACATTTTTTTTTCTAAAAGATAAAGTTATCTTTTCATCTTTTGAAAGTATATATTCAATTTTTTAATTATCGAGTTCAATGCATACACAAAGATGACTATAGACATAGTATCAATTTCAATAGCCAAAAAACAAAACTAATACCATGAAAATTGAATGTTCTATCAGAAATTGATCATATCTTGTATTATATGGATCAATGAAATAATTACTTGAACAATCAGTAACATATACATTCTATATGGTATAATAAATACCACATGATTTTACAATACGTATTAATAAGGTGAAGGATTGAAGATCAATTGTTTCTTCTACATTTTAAAATGATATCTTGTAAAATAATCCTTGATATTTTATACTATATTCTTTATATAGCCGATTTTTTAATAATATTATCTGTCTTGAGAACTATACAATTTACTTAGGTTTGTTTTTTAGATATTATAACTGAATTTCACAGAAATGTTAAAATATCTTTAGATACATTTTGAATTGAAATGACATTACTATTGTGTTGTCTGGCATTAGTCAGTATAAGATCATTTCTTACTTTTACATATTCTAGTTAGTTATTTGATGCTTAGGTTTTATAGCCATATTATCTGCGTTAACGATATGTTGAATATTATATATCTATATGTGTGTAGGAAAATGTCTTTTTGACTTATTTCACTAAATGTACTGTTATCGTTGTTTATTTACTAACAGATGTTTCTTGCAAAACAAAATAAATGGCACTTTTATTCTTCCTTTAATCAAAAATAATATTTAACAAATAAAAAAAAGTAATTTGTAATGAGGAAATTGTTTTATATCAATGTTAATAACTTTAGTAAAGTCAAATCAGTTGTATAGAAATCGTATTATACAAAAAAAATATGTAGATAATTGTGTGTTTTTTTCGCGAATAGGCCAAAAGAAATCTGACAATCAATAAGTCTCTGTTAGAATGCAACAATCGTTTTCTTTGTTCTGGAAATATGGGACACCATCTGTTTATAAGCACGTCTGATATATATGTTTCTTATTCTGTAAAAGTAATCGTCATAACTAATTGATAGCTAATGCCTGGAAGTCGATATTTGAGATCATGTTGTTGATGTTCTAGATTGACATAGAGAAGTGAACAAGAATATATTTAATTAAATATGAAGACTTATCTCATCAATATGATTTTTTTTATAAAGAAAAAAAAATATTCAATATAATTTTCGGTATAATTCTTGAAATTAATCTTCTATGGTATTATTTGAATAAGATTATTTCTTCAAGCAAAAATAATTGAATAGTTGTTTAGTAAAGATAGGCAGGATGAGATTATGATTGGAAGCAGTAAGTATAAGTGAGAGAAAGGATAAAGGTAAAGAGAAAAAGCTTACTTTACACATTTCTATTGTTTAGAATCAAATATCTATATAATCACTAGTTACCAATGGAATTAGAATTCTTCCTTGAATGAATATTCAAAATAATGTCAATGACAAAAATATAATTAATTCTGACAGAAATGAATTTTTGCTCATATTATATTATTACTAAAAGTTTTGTGACATCATTTCAATTATCAATTCAATATAATAAGCTTATAGTGAAATGATCGTAAGTGTGGATGGCACGTCTCTTAACAAAAAAACATTACTTAGAAAATATTTAATATGATGGGATAATAAGAGTCGAATGATTATGATAGGTTAATTCATAATTGAATTTTAACAACTGTTTTGATCATTCTAATATTAACTGAACAATAGAATACTATTACTTTACATGTATAGTGCCAATCAAAGGATCATCATGGAAATAATTTCTGTTTAATAAGATAAAAAAATTAATTTTCCTCTAACACTGCTTCTCTTTCTATTAGAACGAGAAAAAATAACCTACATGTTATATAAGACAATATTTTCATTTTAAAATAATTAATCATCTGCAATGTTTTTAAAGTTGAAGTAGAAATTATTCTCTTATCGATTTTAATTTCATTCGTTAAAAATTAAGTTATTCCTATAGTTGAAAATATAGATTCATAGTCAAAGGTATTTTATCATTTAATACTAATAATTAACTAACGATAGTTTTTCAGAAGAGGTATGCTTATCATCTTGTTTAACCCCTTGGGGATGGCATTAGTTTTATGAAAACAAAGGAATTTTTTTTAATCCTTGAGGGATATAATTACTCATATCAACATGAAAGAAATGGCTCGCAGGACTTTAAAGTATAATTATCTTGAAAACAACTGAAAATACAAAGTTCAACAGCGCATTTTGACTGTGAATGCATGTACTTGTTATATTCTTTATATCAACGTTTACATTCAGACTCGCACCTACATCTACCCTCAGGCTTATAAGAAGTATCCGCAAATTAACTACGAGTCAATTTCAAGCTAAACGTATAAATATATATGTCTTCCGTATCTAAGGGGTTCAAATAACATATATATGTCTAAAAGGCATACGCTTTTCTGAATTGAGTAGTTTCTAGTAATAGATCATCCAATGAGAAAGAAATTATTCTGAACTGAGTGTTCGGTATTAGGGCAAATCTTGTTTGCTCTCAGATACAATGTGATTTATAGCTACGTAAAGTTAGCAGCAGATTCGAGTTTTTTCGCCAAATATTAGCCCACAGATCTGTGCCACAGAAGATAATTAGTGTGCCAGATAGAACACCGAATATACTATGGACTGTATACTTTTCAAAAAATTCCATCGTAAAAAACAGTCAAAAACTACGAAAAACTAGGTTTTTTAAGCGATTTTTAGACAAAAAACTACTATTTTCGCCTAATATTCGTTTGACGACTTGCGTCATTTCTGAAATTGGTCGTGTCAGATAGAACTTGATGAGATCTACCGATTGATATCATTTATGCTCTAGTACATGAATAGGTAAGAACTCCATCTGGTCAAAGACTAGTAGAATAGGGTATTTGAGTAAGTTTTTCGGGCTAATATTCATTCGCTAACTTGTGTCAACTTTGAAAGAGGTTGTGTTAGATAGAACTTGACGAGGTCTACTAATTTCACACCTCATTTATCATTTCGGAACATTTATCGCAGAAAAATGGTAATTAATATTCTGCATAACACTTAAACATAGATAAAATCAATCATCGATTAATTTATTTTACCCAATAAATGAAGAAAATTAGAAAGATATCACACATCGTTGTATGATGGAAAATTATGCATGAAAAAATTGATAGACTAATGCCATCCGATATCTACATATAAATTATTTTTTGTTAAAAATGATTAAAAATGAATAAACATGCTTTCTGAAATAAAATGATATCTTTTTGAGCTTTATCAACCCTTATGTATTAAATTCATTCCTAAAGAAAAATACTATGAAGTATCCAGTCACTGGTTGAAAACTATTAAATTATTTATTAGAATATTTTTGACAGATACTGATGCATACAGTACGTTCTGATTTTACAAAAACTAAGATTTTATGAGCTAAATAATCTTTAATTTCTAAACTTGTATGAACCGTTGTTCACAAGATTTTCTTTTATAAAAAATATATTTAGAAGCAAAATATTCTATATTGAAGATTAAGAAAATTCAAAATTAATTAGAAAAAAAATGACATGATAATGAGATCTTTTATTAGTTTTCTTTTAAAGTAGGGAGTTAATTTAAGCTATTGTCGAGTATTATAGCTGATGCATCTCGTTATCATCATGAGACACATAATCAACATGTGAACAAATCATGTTTTCTTAAGAATGATCCTCTTTCCAAGTCTAAGAAATTATTGCTTCATTTTAGTTTTTAAAGATGTACTTAAGCGTGCTTTATCTGTAATTAAAAACCATAGCTATTTCTAGCTGTATAGTTCCTGAAAATGTAAAATTTCAAAAACATGTCTCTTAAAAACGTGTATATTCTAAGTAGGGGTGTTACTTTATCTTTATTTTTATTCTCATTCTTGTACAGAAGTGCCCAGTAAACATAAATTGTTTGCTTGTGTGTCCGCAGGGTCAAAATAACATCGAAAACCAATTTTCTGGAAAAGAGATTTTTAGAGGTATTTCAATCCAGGGACTTCGAATCTGAGGTCTATTCGGTGACCATGGTTGGGGGGGGAGTGAAGAGGGGTCAAAGGTCAAAAAAACATCGAAAATCAGTTTTTCACGATTTTCATTCGTTTTTTCAGTAAATGTGAGGAAAATCCATTTCTACGAGAAAGAGCTAAGCGAGTCCTCGGAAAAGCGTTACTTGTCTTTATTTTTCAAAATAAAAATCATCTTTATTCTTTATGTAAATATAGTTTTACGCACAACATTTATTACAAATTTTAGCAGATAGTTTTGTCACAAAGACCTTACACTAGAAGTACTTTTTTTTCTTCAATACCAAGCATGATAATCTCAAAGGATTTTACATGCACTTTTATGTAGCGATATATGGAGATTTAATCGGCTCTTGACTGCTGGCGTAAACAGGAAGAAATCTTTTTTCTGGAAAGTAAGTGTAATTAAAAGCTGCGCTCTTACTTTGTCATTGCATTTATTAAGTAATACGATAAAAATATAAACGCAGTAAGCTACTATTTACTTGTTTCCATATTTAAAAGGATTTAACAAACTACACCACCATTTTCAACTTTTCTTCTGTCATGTCTAACAACAGCATTGCCATTGAAATTAATTTCATTCGCAAAACAATTGTCAGCTATTATTTACTACCAATTTTTATCATTGGCATGGTAAACAGTATTGTCACTATCATTATCTTTCTTCAACGTCCACTACGGTTGAATGTTTGTGCACCGTATTTTATCTGTGTATCTCTTTCACAGATCATATTGCTTTTCTTCAGCTGTCTCTATCGCGTCATAACTACGGGCTGGAATAATGATTTTGATCTAACCCGAACGTCAGCTTTTCTTTGCAAATTTCGTGTATATGGCTTTTTGCTTGGTCTTGCTCTGTCACGATACTTCTTGTGCTTAGTCTCGTTAGATCGCTGGATGACAACATCATACTCTGCATGGATTCGTCAAAAGAGTTCCCAAAAAACTGCATCATGGTTAATTGGACTAGGTTTTCTGTTCTGGATATTATTTACAGTTCACGCTTTGATCGGATTTCAAAGCGTGCCCAATATTGGTTGCGTACCAACGGTGAGCAATGTCTACAGTTTATTCTTTCCAATTTCTACGATGATCATTAATATTGTTCCTTTCTTATTAATGATTATCTTTTGTGTATTAATATTGAAGAATGTACGCAAGCGAGGTAGAGTTAACAATACAATACCAACGGCAACACTACCTAACATAGATGATCAAGCAAGGCAACGATCTCGTACTGACTTTCAACTCATTCGTTTAAGTATTATACAAAATATTTGCTTTCTCATTTTTAATTGCATACCATCGGTCATTCCTGTGTATAATCTTCTTACAAGTTATCAAGTAAAAAGTGTTGATCAACAAGCTATCGAAAATCTTATCAATGATGTCGGCACTTTCTCGACACATACCTACACTGCAGTAAGTAACTCAATCGGTATTCTCGGATTGACAAGATGACTTAAAAACGTCAACATCTCCTATACTAGTAGTTTTTTACTTAATAGCTCAATATTTATTAAAAAATTCTATACTAATATCAAAAGAAAATGATTAAATATTCTATTTTTATTCTTTCTTTTTCATTTCAGCTCACCTTCATCTTGTATATAATGGCCTCGAGCACTTTCCGTAAAAATTGCAAGAAGTCCATATTAACTGCCAAACATACCATTATTCGCAGCTTTCAACATTTTCGCGAACAGATCATTTGACTTTAATATTAATATTTCTATGTTGTGAATGTATACGAGTTCTAGAATCTCTTTTCTTCATGTATTAAACATTAAAAAAATAAATTCTAATTCAAACTTGCTTATAATATTTACTATTCCAAAAGGACATATCCAAAATGACATTGATGAACAAGCAGGACTACGGTTCAATTTAATTTTCTTTACTTGAGGGTGGGTGTATGCGTTCTTTCAATCATATCTACACCCACACACTCACGCGCACATACAACTTAAGATTCATAGTATTTCATTGAATTTGAATATTATTTAAAATATAGACACATCTCTTGATCAAAGAAATTCATATTTTATAAGCTTAGTTTCTGATAATAGAACTGTTATAATAAATCTTTTTCTTGAAGGATAATCATATAATTAAAGACAGTTTATTTACGCCAAAAAAAGAAAAGAAAAAGAAAAAGAAACAAACAAAGTGATGAATAATAATTTATAATCGTATCACGAGATTCATATTATCTTTTATTGATGTTGTTTAACAAATTTGTTTACATCATATTCGTCACTGTAACCATCTTCATCATTGTCAGCTTGTTCAGAAAATGTATCAAGTATTGATTTTAATGTTTGTTTTTTATTATTAAATTTTTTCGTAGAATTTTCTACTATTAATGATTGTCCTTTGGCTTCATCTCCTAATGATATAAGATCAATTAGATTTGTATCTTTTTCTAAATTAAGCAAACTAGATGAATTATTATCTGATGCTAATACTGTATCTGCTAAATTTGTTTTGAATCGTTGAAGACTAAGAAAGACAAAGAAAAAAGGTGAAAATAAGAAAATTAAAGAACTCAAAATATATACTTCATAATTTTTTCTTCAATTGTATTTCGTGTTATTAATCGATATACATTAACAACTTTTTTTTGTCCAATACGATGTGCACGATCCATAGCTTGAAGATCTTTACTTGGATTCCAATCATGTTCAACAAATATAACTGTATCAGCACCAGTTAAATTTAACCCAAGACCACCAATATGTGTTGTCAGTAGTAAAAGATCAATACTTGGATCAGAATTAAATAAATTAACTGTATTAAAACGATCAACTGGATTCATTGAACTATCCAATCGAAGAAAACTAACATTATCCATTGTTCTATAAAATAAAATTATATTAAAAGAAAAAACTCAAATTAAATCAATTTACCCAAGAACTTGATTAATAATAACATCAATCATGACTTTCATTTGACAAAAAACTAATGCACGATGTGTTGAAACAACAGCATCTCTTGATACTCCAATACCACATTCAATTAATAATTCTCTATGAATAATAAAACGAAAATCAGTCAATAATAGTAATAAACTGATGTATTATAACTTACTTAAGAGCAAGTAATTTTCCTGATAATCTAATATCATTTAAACTAATATGTGATTCTTTTAATTCAGTTTGTACACTATTCCATTTTGGATGGTCAGTTGTTAGAACTAATGATGGGTGATTACATAATTTACGTAAATATTGTAATGCCTAATTTAAACGAAAAAAACATCTGTTAATATAAAGAATCGTTTTTATCTTGTGTCAATTTTTACCTTAAATACATGTCCTGTTGTTGAATTTCCATTTTGATGTTGTGAATCATTATCAGAATAATTAACTTGTTCTTTAGTTTTATTAGCAAAATCTTCATAAAGCATACATTGTATTGTACTTAAATCACAATAATAATCTTGTAGAATTTTAGGTGGTAAATCATCTAATACGTCTGATTTCATACGACGTAACATAAATGGTTTAACTTGTTTATGTAAAACATCCATTGCTAATTGTCCTTTATAGAATAAAAAACAACATATAAATAGAAAAATTGATTTTTTTAAAAAAATATTTTACCATGTTCAAGATCACGATCACGACTTGATGCAAGTAATGGTTTTTGATAACGACGAATAAATTGTTTTTCTGAACCCAAATAACCGGGCATGAGAAAATCAAATAATTTCCATAGTTCAAGTGCATTATTTTGTATTGGTGTACCGGATAATATAAGACGATGAGCTATTGATTAGATATTAATAAAACAAAAAAAAATTATTTATAAAATTACCTGCTGAAATCTGACGAATAGCTTTAGATAATTTTGTTTTCGAATTTCGAATAACATGACCTTCATCAAGTACACAATAATTAAATGGAATAGTCCTATTAAATATGAAATAAAACTTAAGATTATTTTTTTTTCGTTAAAAATACATACGAAAAAAAAGCAATATCACTACGAACGACGTCATATGAAGCAACAATAACTGTATATTCTTTTGGATTTTGTTGATATTTATTTCTTAAACTAAATAAATAAGAATAAGAAATGAATAGATACAAAAGAAGTTTCAATATTAACCTATCACGTTCAGCTAAATTTTTTCCAGAATAAAGTAATGGACGAAGTATATCTTCACTAACAAATTTATTCATTTCACTTGTCCAATGTCGTGTTAATGTTGGTGGTGAAACAACAAGTGATGGTCGAATTTCAAGATTCTATATGAAAAATATTAAATCAATTTATTTATTTTTGTTTTGTTCAAACCTCTTTTCGTCGTTCAACAATATCTGAGGCAAGAACACAAATTGTTTGAAGTGTCTAATAAAAAGAAATATATAAAAAGAAAAAACATTAACGAATATTTACTTTTCCTAAACCCATATCATCAGCAAGAACACATGATAAATTATATCGTTTAAGAAACATTAACCAATTAATACCATCCTATTAGAAATAAAGTAAACTATGACTATTCTGAAAAAAACAAAAAGGTATATTACATGTTGATATGGTCGAATATCGACTTTAACTTGCATTGGTAAATGATATGCTGGCATTTTTGTATTATCAAAAAGTTGTTCAAGAAAATCACCACTTTCTGTACCATTTCTATGTTCAACTGTTTTATCATCATTCTAAATTTAATTAAAATATTTCATATTCATTTATTGTTGATTCAAGAATTTTTTCTTACATGTAATGCATAATATTTAATAAGAACAGCAAAACAATTACTAGCTATTGATCTTATATACCAATCTTGATGTGTCATAGTTTGAATACAAGGTACCATCAAATATTTTGCATATGGAACAATATGAAGTGCTTGTCTATCGATAACATCTAGAGAATAATATTCTATGTAAAATAAATTTCTCGACTATTTTTCTTTTGTCTTACGATATAAGGTTTCAATAGGACCTTGTAAATAATTTGTATCCATATTTGTATTAGTTAATTTAGGTAGAATTGAATCAATAATAAATTGAAGAACACGATCAATTTTATACATTGATAAAATACCAATACAACGTGCACTGAAAAATCGTATGACTGTATATTTTGATGATAGACATCGAGATAGATTAGGTAATAAATTAAGATACTAAATATGAAGAATAGATATGAAAATAAAATATTTTTAAAGAAATTATTAGTTTACATTATTTAAAATTGTTTCATGAACATGTGGAATGAGTATTGCTAATATTTGAAGTGTATCTGCTAAATTTTGAGCATCAGAAGTTGATTGTGTTTGACATAGTTCTTTAAAAAGAAAAATAGATAAGAAATTATTTTAGGAAAGAAAGCAAACTACAACCATCAGTAAATTGTTCAATATCTAATACTGTTCGATTATATAAATCTGGTAATTTTGATTGTAGTGTTTCACCAAATCGTTGACAAATAGCAGATAAAGCTGATTCACCACCATGTCTCGCAGAATCATTAGTATTAGTTGTATCAAAATTCTATAAAGAAAATAATCGTGAAAAAAGAACTTATTTTCAAATAAATTTACAAATTTTTTTGCATTGGAATTATTTGATGAAGGTGTAGGTGTAGGTGTTGAGTCTGTTGATGAATCACGAGTTAAAGTACTTTTAGGTGTATTATCATCCTACATAAAGAGAATAATTTAGTTCAATAGAGAAAAAAATGTAAATATTGTTTCATTTTACACTATTCGTTTTTTGCCAAGTATAAATTCCTTTCAAAGTAGTACAATTATATTCTTCATTAACAATTGATGATGTTTCACCGGATTCTATAAATTTCAATAGAAAGATTGATATGAAATGAAAAATAACAAACCTGTAAAACGTGTGGAGCTTGTAACATGCGGTGATTCATCGGAATCAGCACAAACATAATTACATATATTTTTTAGAATTTTACTATTTGGATTAGGAGTTGTTGTTCGCTGTGTACATTGCCAAATAAGCTCTGCAATAGCCTGAGCTATATCTTTCTATAAGAAATAAAAAATAAGAGATTTTTATTATTAATTATGACGATGAAGAACGATCACTACACTCGGATAAAGTATGAGAATGAAATGATTAACATTTTTCTAAGCCTCTAACTTTTGATTGGTAATTATATTCTTCAAAGTATCAAAGAAATATCCTCGTCAGAGACCGAAAGCGAATCAGTGTCAATATTCTCTTCATTCATCAAATAATATAAATAGTAAAAATAATACTAGACGAGAACTTGGCACATGCTCGATCGCAATTTAATGAAGACAGAGTTTATGTAGATAGAAAGAAGTCTGTCGGAAAAGAACATTCAGTCATGACAGCCGAATTCAAATGGGCATTTACTTATGCACTTCGGTCTCTGTTCTCTAAATAAATCTCTCATAATCGATCTATATATGCATAAAAGTTTTGCTTGTAATCATATCTATTGCTATCTTACTTGAATAAGTGGATCTACTTCTTTTTTCAATGCATCCATCAATGGTCGAATAAGTGGATTGAGTTGATCACCAAGAAAACGCCAATAAACACAAGCTGATGCTAAATAAGCTGTTGATCTACATGAAAAACAAATAATATTTAGTTCATCTAATCTATATCATGAGAACAATTAAGAGATAGAGCATCAAAACTTAAGACAGAATTTTTAGTTGAAAAAAATCTTAATCCTTTCCTAAGTCACTGACACAAAAAATGTTAAATACTACAGTGGAAAAACTCAACTCGTGATTTGAATCTAAAACAATATATTTTCTTCTACTTTTTCGCCCGAATCATTTTAAATGATAAATATATATATCGTTAAAAACAAACCTTAATGAAAGTGTCTCCGATTCATTTTGTATTCGTTGAGCCTCATCACGAATATTTTGTTTTTGTCCATTTAATTGAGCATGTGAAGCAATATTTGCATGAACATTATCACATAATTCAATAATATGATCAACGGAATGAAGTCTTAAATGAAAATAAAAATCAAACGTGAATAATATATTTTGAAGAATCATAAAATTAGTAAAATTTTGTATGAACTGGAACAAAGAATGTTTTCGGTTATCTTTCGAAAACACCCCAGAGAAGCTCATTTACCGTATACTTTTTCGAGTTACACAAAACTTTAATGTCTAGTTATACATATATGTAATCGACATTAAAGGGAACGTGTCTCGAGATATTAATATTTTTCTTTTTCAAACTTACTCAATTGTTGCAATTGATTGTTGACTACATAAATTTTGTTTTGCACATTCATACATAAATGATGTAAAATCCCGTTTAAGTTTAGTAAATGATGGTGCGATTTCATCGAAATAAATTGCTTCATTTATTGCATTATATAAACGTTCTTGAAGAATATTTGTATTCAATGAAAAATCAGTCATACTCTATAATTAAAAAAATAAATTCAGCGAAATAAAAAAAGTTTTTATTACTTTTGCCCATTCAGTGGAAATCATTCCTGCAAGCATTCTTTGTACAGCCGAACGATAATTAAGATGTTGAGTTAGATAATTCAAAACATCATTTGCTTGTTGTTGATCATAATGAACAAATAATTGACCCAATAATCGAGCTGCTAAACGACGACATTTCATAACAGCACGATCATGTTCTACTGGTGCTTCTTGATGACACGCTGTAAAACCTGTTGCTAAATATTGATGATTATTTGTTGTTGAACTAGTTAAATAACGTTTATCTTCTTTATCAATAATTGCTGTTGTCTATAGAAATAGAATATATATATAAAATAGAAATAAATAATTTTTTATTTTACCTGTTGAGGTTGTTCATCATTTAATAGCCATGCTTGATTAATTGGTACTTTAGCTGGATGAACAGATAAACATATCCATCGTTGATAAGATGTAATTGTACATTGTTGTACAATACTATTCGATTGACAAAGAATAGCCCATGCCTAGAATAAATAAGTTTTGCTTATAATAAATAAAGAAAATGAGAATTTATTATTTAATATACTTGCTCAATTGATGCAAGAATTTTATCATCAGATTCGAGTATCGATCGTTCGAAAAGTAGACGAAATGTATGTTCAAGTACAGATAATTCTTCCGGAGTACATGTATTTAATTTCGACTAGAAATTATACAAAGAAAAAATTTATATAAAAAACATTAATTGATTGTTTTTTTTAAATATACTTGACTAGCTTCAATTATTTCCATAACAGTTTGAATAGCAGCTAAACGAAATGGTACTGTATGATGGCGACAAAATGGAAATATTTTTGGTAGAACTTGTGCAAAAGATAATTTAAATCTTGAATAGAGAATAAAATAATAAAGATTAAATATAAATCAGATGAATTCATTTCTATACTTTTCAGATGAATTTGATGCAAGTAATTTAGCAAGAAGATTCATAATTGAACTAGCTGCAGAATTAAGATCATCCATTGTATCAAGTAATGAGATAAGTTCACCGATTAAACCAGATGTACAATTGAGGACGGCCTTGAATAAAATAAAAAATAAGTTCATCATTTCGATTTATTCTTAATATCTTACAGATTCATATTGAGTGACAAGTGGTAATAATGTTGCTGCAGCAGTTGCAACAACATCATCGGATTCATCGTTAAGACACTTTCGTACTGCTTGAACACATGGAATTTGCATATCTTTGGGTATTTCCTTAAAATTTAAATTTATAAAATAAGAAATTATAATTTTCATATTTTTACTTTGAGAATATTGAATGTATATTTGAGAGTGACCAATGCTCCATGTCGAATTTCCCATGTTCCATTGAATTGAAGTAAATTTAAAAGGATTGAAATTAAAGATGAACATTGTGGTTGATCGTATAAACAATTACAGATGATACTAAGTGCTTGGGCGCCTGTCTCTCGAATTGGTGCAACGACCTGGATAGATAGAAGAGAAAGAAAAGAAAAATAATACCTCCGCAAAGATTATTTAGAATAGAAGTAGATAGAGGACATCAAGTATGTCCTATGTACATTTCTCAGTGGCAGAACAAGGAAAAATAACTATTTTTTCTTTCGTTAATATGCTTACATCAGAGAGCAATCGATTACTAATATATACAACTATACATATATAAATAAACATATCTTTCTTCTTGCTTTTTTTTTCTCTCATCATTTTCTCTATAATATAAATAATATCATATCATTCCATGATAGGATAATATATGGAAACTATAGAATAGGGGAAAAAAACATATGCAAGACAAGAAAAGATGAAGGTGACAGTTATAGAATTATTCGTCGTCGACGTCGCAAGCATTTGTTCGTATCAACTATCAACGATGGCTTTGACTCCGATTATAGTCGTCATCACTGTCTGTCTTGGATTTTCAACGATTAATGGTTGTCTATCGATGGGTGAGCATTCTAAAAACTTATTTTCAAGTCAGCATAATAGTTTAGGCACAGCTTGATCATCATCTCTAGTCATTCCATCATCATCGACAGCATACATCACTGACAATATTTCCAACACCACAACAACAACAACAACTTTTCCTACAACAATTGCAAATGCTACAACTACTAATACAACAACATCAGCAACAACAGCAGCAGTACCAACACATATTCTACGTGTACGTATCCGTGTACACAATTCATTAATTGAAACATTAGTCAATCAAAAACAATTGGATTTAATTGAAGTTCAATTACGACAAAGACATATACCATTTCGTCAAATTCAAGATAATAAAGATGGTATAACAATTATTATTGGACCTTTTCATAAATCAACAAATTTAACAGCAACTATGATGATGTTTAATCAATCACGTTTTCATACAAATTTCACTAAGATGATACCAATTAAATCATCAATAATTGATCAAAAAAATCAAACAAATACAACAAGTCCTTTAGATGAAAAAAAAATTCAAACAGAACGTTTTCCAATAACTGTTGAAGCACATGAATATGATCTTGCACAAGATCAAGGTATTTATATTCTCATTTTATTTCTATACAAACTTAATTTTTCTTTTCTTTTCTTTTAGAATCATATGAATTTCGTAATTGTTTAGAAGCATGTGAAATTTATGAAGGCAATGAACTTAAACCTGATCATAACTGTATTAGAAAAAAATGTCTTAAAGAAATAACCGGCATTTGAAATAAAAATAAAAATGTTTTTCTTTTTTGTTTAAATTCTAAAAAAAAATATAACTTACTTCATCAGATACATAATCAGCGAATCGATCGAGTATAATTAATGTTAATAATCGAACACTTAAATCTTCAAGCCATTGATAATAAAATTCATTCTAAATTACAAATATTTTATTTGAAAATATGAAATATACAAAGAAAAAATAACATACAGATATTGTTACAAATTGTTGTCCTTTGAGAAAATCACGAATAGCAGTAACTGCTCCATGACGATATTCCCAAGATGGTTGAAATATTTGTTCAAGTAACCAATCATAAAAATCATTTAATGACCAATATGATCGATTCTAGAAATATATATAAAGATTATGATATTTATTAAAGCGACCATTTTATTCAAGCTAAAGGTTATGATTCCCTTCAAGATTAGTGAGAACATATTTGTTTATCCTATAAGATAGTATTCATTCATATTATTCTTAGAGAAAAGAAAGGACGTTAAAGAATATGTTTTTCATTGTATAAAGATATCTAACGAAAATCATTAAAATATGTTATATGACAATGTATTGCCCTTCTTAAACATAGTAGGATATCTTATATACAGAGAAATAACATATTCCTTTTTACTGTAAGTATATTGTCATTTTTCTCTAGAATAATAATTAGTCTATGACATTGAAAGAATTCTATACGGAGTCTTTTACATTGACTATTTAGAGAATCAATCGTACTTCGTCATTTTCTTCCGTAGTACTCGAGGATTTCAATCTTTTTGAAGGTGTTGGTTCAGCTGATGAATCTTGTTCAATAATTGCATATAGATCACCAAATACATATCGTTGTAAATCACTCGATGAAACCTATATTGATAAATAAAAAATCGATACTATTAAAAATAATTGTTACATACACATTTTATATGCGTATTATTTCCATTAATTGGTTCTGTTTTAAAATCATTTTCTTCAATAGGCATAACTGTACCCGTTAAACGTTCTTGTAGACCAAAATTAAATTCTTTGCAAACAAATTTCTTTTGTACAGATACATTTCCATCTAATAAATGAATTGATTGAAAATAACAATTTTTTCAAAAATATCTACAAACCATAATCGCCTATATCTTCTATTTTACGTGCGCCAAGATATAATATTGAACTATTAACAATAACATTATTAAAATCAAATGTAGTCAGTTTTAATCTATATCGTAAAGTTGGATTTAATAAAACTATTAAGAAAACAAAAGAATTTTTAATTAATAAGAAATTTAAAAGTCATACTAGAAAAGTCATCAGATATATTTTTACTAATAAGTTCAATAGCTAAGCCACATGCAATACGAACATCCCATGATGAATGAATAACATGTCTTTTAAGCTGAAATGAAGAAGAAGAAGAAAATTTCTTTTGTTTAGAAATGAATTCTTTCTCGTTTTCATTACTTTATTAAGTATAGGTTCGACTTCTTTTGGAAGTGTACTAGCTATTTGACCAATTTGTGTAGCTGCTGATCGTTTTACTGCTAATGAATCTCCATTACTCAATAGTGTCAA